TTTCCTACATCTGGAGCGCTACATCCATTGCAGACGACTTTGGCGCAACCAGGTATTGTAAGTGTGAGAGTAGGCTTGTCCTACGATCCACTAAGATTCAGCCTGCGTTGTCCGATGTGTTCATTCCCTGCCCCCCTCTTCGCTTGCTGGGACTGACAACCATGAATAGCCGCTCGAAGTCCGTGCCTGCATCCCAGCCAGCTCCACTACAGCGCACACGGTTCAACTGGCTGCGACCATCGGAAGGAGTTAGTCACCACATCTGCTAACGCAGAGCCCTTCTCAACTAATGGGTACTGCCCACTTTGCTTGCTGGGCCCCAAGGCCGTTTGCCACGTCACGGCAGTTGTCAACCTACGTATGAATAGCGCTAGCTACCCAATGATAGACAGTCACTGCATTCTCAGCCCATGGATGAGTGGGGAATAGCTGATTCGGACCGTGTGCCACAAGCGGTAAGGCTACCTCGAAGGCCTGAGGAGACAGCAGATCCAAAAACAATGGTGGGAAGTTACTGAGTGTTTCTTTGATAGACCCTCCTCTTTGCCCTGCCCGCGTCCGTAAGTCTTCCGCATACGAGGGAACGACAACAGCTGAGCCTCGCGTAGCTACACACTCGAACTGTTCCAAGATTCTACAGCAAGCTGCACACAGCGCTTAAGGCGCATATACACATGGCTCCTTTGTGTTAAAATAAACGGTACTCGGCAACAAATAGCTGAGTATTAGCAGGGAGTTGCGGAGTTGGCTTACTTGTGTTTGTATTTTGGAGGATTATTAGTGAGGGAAATTTTTTTGAATGTAGACTAGCTGACTATAGTGCGCAACGTGCCGCCGTTTTCAGTAGCACCTAATGATTTTAAGCTTGGCAAATGGTCTAGGCTGTTCTCCAGCTTCAAAGCTGCATAGAACCAAATAGCATGAAACTCCGCGACAAAAATTTTGCATGTGCTCCTCGTCCGATTTTTCGCAATATCTGGGTGTTCGATTAACGTTGAGGAATAGGCGGTCAGTGGTCGAATAGTTGTCTTGCCTCCTTTTCTCCTCATACCGTTGTGCCATCCGGCTTGCCACAGGCTATGTTTCATTCTCTCATCATTACTATGCTGGAGCTCCTACCCTGTGAACTTCTACAAAGGGCCCAAGGTAAACATCTGAAACTTCGTCACACCGTATACACCAGCAACTGCGGCCAGCAGACCTAAAATGGATAAGAATTCATGTGTGGATCCTCTTCAAACTAGTATCTTGGCACACCAATGTGCATTCTGCAACTACCTCAACTAAGTCGTTTCAGAGATGCTCCTTGAGCATGGATAGACTTCCCCACATTCGCGTATCCATGGAGAAGAGCAGCAAAAACGCCCCTCTGCGGGCGACAGCATACCAGCAGCAGCATCTCCTGCGCCACTGAAAAACCTAAATGCTTTTAAGAAAACATTCTCAGTTGATTTAACGACTTACGAACAAGAAAAAACTTCGCCTCCTATAGTAGACCAGTAGCTGTATGGATTGATTTCATGTACATCAAGTAGAGAGGCACACCCTCAAGGGCGTACAGTACGCTGCATTTACAGACGAGAGTTGATATTAAGAATACACGGAAGACAGGGATAGAAGCACACAGGTAGCCTCGGGAATTTACGAATCACAAGCTGGGCCAGATGGTTTAGCACGCCAGAATGTGGGGCCCGGCCAAGCGGTGACTAACTTATATCAACCCTTCGAAGGAACTAAGACCTAGTGGCATGCTACGCCTTTGTGCGATACAGATACACATAAGGCAAACAATTTGAAGGCCCCTGAGCGCGCCGACAAGGATAGAAGAAGGAACAGAACCCACTCAATTGCACCTGTTGATGCCGGCGTTGAGCGGAGCCATGAAGATAGGCAATGGAGACATTTCCCGCTGTGCTCCACTGCTCAGTTTATACGGGAACGTTATTCTAGACCTCACTGATTCACAATGTGGCTGCTACTGCTTTGGTGGCAACATGCGACAGCTGCTGCAGTAAAGGCGGAAAGAACACTGCGCTGTGTGGCCGCTGGCATTCATAAAGCAGTCTATTCGCCAAGGTTACAGTGCAACGCACAATTAATCCGCAGCAACATGGATATAATGCGTCTGTCCGCAAAGTCGTGTGAAAAGACATTGATATACTGCAGTGGGTTCCGTGCTCCTTCGGTCCCGGTTGTACTGGTGGCATCGTCATTACTCTGGCTGTGTATGCGGGTGGCATCCCAATCGTGGATTTGCTGTAGAAGCGGTCGCAGAAGGGTATTGAGGAGCAAATTGTTGGCTTCAAAAGCTGCTGTTTTGATGCCTGTAGGTTTTTCCTTCCAAGCGGCAACACCCTGGCCGAACCAATACTTAATAAACGGTAGTTCAGCGAACTTACGAGGCGCTGTGACTTCCCCTGTACGGACGCACAAACAGCTCAAACACCCTGCACCCACGCCGTCGTTTTCAGCTCTTGTGTTGGTCTACATATGCGTCAGACGCTCTAGTGGCCGGTTCACGATTTCTCACAGCCTAACAGATTAGAGGCCCATCAACGGGAGTACTGCATGACTCAAGGTCGTCCTAAAGCCTGACCGCAAAGCATTCGAAATGTGATGGGCCGTCTCTGGTTGTTTTCAAATGTTAGCGCGCCCCTAGCTTCATGTCGACGCTGCACAGCCACCGTCCGCTGCTCCTCAGAAGTCCAGCGCAGTAGATTCACGATGAGTTCTTCAGGATGGAGCGTGCCCGTGCGATAGTACGACTTGAAGAGTCGCGAACTACCGGCTCTAAACGGCGACGGAACGAATGACGTCACCACGTTGCGCCCCATGTTCCTACCTGCTAAGAAACCCGGTGTAGCTTCTGGAATCGCGCGTGTTGCTTCTAGTGCTGCCTTACTGCCGAGACGACTGGCCTTGATGCTGTCTGCAAAAGTACTGGCGCTTCCAGAGGACGAAGCCGTAGAAACCCCCATGCCCTCTGTCAATGACTCTTGGTGGCCATCCGGGAAGAAGCCTTCGGTGTCTCCTGAACGATTGGCTGCGCTAAAGACCTGAGACAGCAAGTCGAGAACCGAAAGGACGACAGAAAGGGTCATCCTTCGAAGGAAATGTGAAACGCTCGGCGTCACGAAGGGACGGAAGAATTGAGCTAAGCAAGCGGCCAGCCTGGAACGCCCGCGGCAAGCACGAAAAAGCAGATGATTCAGCAACGTCGCATCTCACCGGACGAACGCGTTGGACCCAGTCTGCCGCTAGAGAGGCGTAACAGCAACGCCCCTCACTAGCTGTTCTGCAAGGACAGTCCGGCCCTTTTTCGCATGGAAACGCCACGTCGTCTGGGAGGCATCGCTCTTGATGAGACCATAGCAAAATGACGCGTTGTCCTCTGACGCGCAACATACAGCACCACAAAATCAAGAGTCAGCTGACATCCGCAGCACACCGTGGAGCCTTGATGCTCCAGCCGACTGATTGCGGAGTCGCCGGAAGTGAAAGCAGCGGCACAGGATCTCTGTCACCTCTTGACAAGTGCAGAGAGGCTCACGCCCTCCTCGAGACTAGGACCCAAGAAGTCTCCTAGCGAGGAGGCGACGCAAAAGTACACCTCAGTGGCGGGGATGTCCTTCAGCCTGCAGAATGTCTCTCCAATAACGCCCTCGTCCGGCACACAGCTCAAAAAAACGACTTCGGTTGGATGGGCAACGAGAAACAAGCGCACTTCCTCCAACACGCGCATCTGCACCCAAAAGGCAAGAAGGCAACCACGATTTAAGTACCCTAAGAGGCTTCAGGCTAGGCGAGCTGCCAGCGAAATCCCGTAAGTGGAACAAAAGATTCGCCTATGTTCACGTGTACTCGAGAGGGCCATAGCCAAGCACTAGCAGCCGCGAAACTCGTGGAGTGGAGAAGGTAGATCGACATCTACAAGTAACCTACCAAGGGGACAGTGAGCACGCCTCCGTGTGCGCAGTAGGGGATTGCCTGGTGCTTAGAAGCCCCCGCTTGCTCCAATTCGCGAGCAACTGCTACCCGACGTGCTCCAGTTGCAAGGGCATGGTCTCTGTGTGCTGCTGCAGGCGTTCCAGCTGAGGCAGGATCCGAATGCCCGTGGCCAAGGCGCTTCGAGTGGTGATGGTGATGCCGATGCGAGGGTTGGCTGCTTGCTTCTTCGTCGACGAGCAAGGATATCTGTTGATTTCGGCGCTCTTGCTGCGTCGCTAACTCCTCTGCTTCACCCGCTTCTCCCCCTAGCTGCTTTTTCTGTGTTCTCTGCGGTCCGGCATGCTGGTGTCTGTCCCTTCGGGGAGTTCTACAGCTCGGCGAGAAAACGCGCGAAGACGCAACTGCTGCGAGGGCTTGGGGTCGTTCTGAGGGCTTTAAATTATCCAAGCTACTGGCTTCTGCTGGCGGCTGTTCGAGCATGTTCTTTACGCTGCCGTACCTGCTGCCGCTAGGCCCACTCCCCAAAACGTCGGAAGGGGGATGGTGAGTCGAAACATACCGCGCTAGAGGAGCAATGCCCACCTTCCGATGACGGACTCGCCGTCGCATACGCGGAGGCACAGTCACTGCTTCAAGGCTTTTACAGCAGCGCAAGTCCAGCCACCGTATGCCTCGGCGCAGTTGCTCATAGATGCTCAGTTGCTGCACAAGAAACGAAGGAATGCGCATATTGGACACACACATACACATAGACACTTACACATACATACACACAGATACACACATAAACACATACACACACATACAAATACACACAGATACACACACATGCAAATACACACACCGTTCGTGCTCCTATGGGACTTGAATGAGGATACGAGCGAGCAGCAATAAAATTCCCATTCCCAAAGGCGTCCATTCATGAAGAGTTGCAGCTCTTGATGGCAACAATAGGCAACAGCAGCATCCACGCGTCGGCAAGTCTAGGAGTTGCTGTACCTGACAACTGACCCAGACCTGCACAAGCCGGCAATAATAGGCCTGCTGCTCGTTCAAATGCGCAACACGCCACGATGCGCTATTGTGTGTCGCTGCAGCACCCCGAACGCAGAGCACTGTGAAGGGGTGACTTCAGGCTTTCGTATTTCTCCTGATCTGCTTCCACCTGCATATGCACCACCGTCCCCATGTCCCTCTGTGGGAGCTCGCTGGTAGGCAGAGTTCTTTAGAAGTCTCGCTGCCAGGATTCTCGTGTATACAGGCTACGTTCTCCTGTCTATGGGACCGCTGCTCATCGGCGCGCAGAGCTGTTAGTCGCCTTAGAAAGGACGATGCTGTCTTGCACTGGTTACCGGGTATGATGAGCTGTTCGAGGGGAGCGAATTCGAGGCCAAGCGTCCCCATCCAATTTTCTAGGGAGGGCGTCACGCTTGGGTGTTGCGGCTGCAGCGCGTTCCTGCTGTCCGCATGCGCCTGGTCCTCGTTCGGGAGGCTTGAATCCCTGTGGCTGTCTTTACTGAAGAAGCGTATTGCACTGCTGCTGCCCTTCCTGTGGCTGCAAGCAGCGGAAATCGTAGACTCCGTGCGCTGTGTAGAGGACTTCCGCAGGAGTCGCTGATGCGCTAATCGGCTGCGCTGCAATCTCTGTGCCCTGCTGTGGAATCTCCTGAGGCTTCTAAAACTCAGCAAGAGTGCATGGCCGCCGTCGCTGTCGCTGCCAGTGCAAAGATTGCTGCTGCAGCAACTGCAACATGACTCGACTGTCCCTTCCGACGAAGAATCAGTCCCCCCCCCTAAGCGAACCCAATGACAGTGCAGAACATAGTCCACAGATGCAACGCAATAGCAGAGCGAAAGCAACAGGAAATACATGTGCGTTTCTTGCATACCTTCTTCGTTGATTGACCTGCGCCCTTGCCGCGCGTCGCCCGTCTGCTCAGAACGCTGCTTTTTCTCTATCAAAGAAGACTCAACGCTGCTGTCTCTTTTGCTGCTGCCTTTGCTGCTACTGCTGCGCGGGCTGCCACGTTTGCTGCCCGCCGGTTCCAGCGCCACGCTGCCAGACACAAGCGTTTCCAGGATGAGCGTGGCAAGCCTGTTGAGCGGCAATACGTGCCAGTCTGAGAGCCACAAGGGCCACCATGAAGTGTCCTCTCCGGCTACTACTCCTGCTGCCGCAGCTGCTTCTCCACCAGCGCATTCTGTTCCCTTTGAGCTGTCTTCATCTGACGCTCGACATCCGTCTGAATCCGGAGAAAGCCTCTTACTACCAGACTCTCCGCTTGCTTCGAAGGGCGCAGCGCTTGTGGCTTCAGTTTCGGCCTTCACTAATGGGGACGCTTCTGCTTCATCTGGGAGCACACCTGCCTCTGCTGCTGCATCAGCAGCTTTCGCTTCTTCCGCAAGCACATTTGCCTCTGCTGCTGCATCAGCTGCTTCTAGTGAGGCTGCGGACTGAGCTGCTGCCATTGCGGCTGCAGATGCAGGAGCCGCAGTTACAACACCCTCCGCACTTGGAGGATCGTATGAGGGGGCGTCCTCGCCTTCTCCACAAATGACACCCTGATGAAGCCCGTGTTTGTTTTTCATGACCCCCTGTGGCAGATTCTGTAGCAGGTACAACTGCACATGCTAGGCTACTGCTGCACTTCCAGAGATGCCCCTACACCCAACCACGCTGCGGAGGCCAGGAACAGGGAGCAGTCTGTCGTCGGTGCTGCTCCAGCTGTAGTGACGCCAGTAGCGTTGCCGCGATACTGATAGGCATGATACAGCTTTGGATCGTGTTTCAGGAGCATGTACCACGCTGTTGGTGAGACTGTAGCGACGCGTTCTGCGTTTAAACGGTTTCGCAGGCCATTCGAGAGCAGGCTGGACTGGGTTCCCTTGATTGTTGATAGTGCTGTTGCGTGATTCCAGCGCTGGTGCGACAGTTTACTTCTCTAAGCGAAGTGGGTTCTGTAGCCGACACAACGGCTGGAGGTTCTACAGCGGTTGTTGTTGTAGCTGTTGAAGTCTTCGCTGCCACAACTCGCGGCACGGTACTGCTCGTCCCTGGAACCACGGGTTCCCCTCTCCCAGAGCTGTATCTAACAGGAACTCTTTTCGATTCGCAAGCTCCCCCAGCTGCTCGGTTGACGGTTGCACCGGCTTTGCGCATGCCCCCATACGGCAGGTGGTACAAATAATTGGCCAAGTCCCTGTCTAAGGGCTTAAGGAGAAGTCCCACGCAGCCGCAAATACCAGCCAGAATGAGCGCCAGAAAGAGCAGAAGCAGCAACACTACAAATACGACAAGGGCGATGGGCAGCAGAATCAGAGCCAACAGAAGACTGCACAACGGTGGCATTGCTGCAAGGACATGACCTCGAAAGGATTTTCAATGACCTATAGAATGGAGTATGAATGGTATTTCGCAGCAGTTGGGAGTGGGCCTTGTAGCGTTGCGAATGTCAAGTAGAGGGATCTAGGGTCCTCTCCTGCATCCGTCGCTGCAATACATAGCCCAGTACTCTTGGCCACAGCATAGCATGCACCACAACGGGGTAGGAATATGGCAAGCGTCAGGGAAGACCTAGGTGCAGCTGAAATCGCTCCGGTCATGCTATGGTTGAGGCTGAAAAACGAAGAGAGGCTTCCTTGCTCTGCAGGCGCTTCGGGCTCGACAACTACCACGAACAGGGGGTGACGGTCGAGCTGCTGTAACCACGCTCAAGAACACAAAATTGATGCCGCAACCACCTGGAATAACACGACTAGATAAAGATGAGGGAATTTGAATGCTGGAGCGGATATATTCAACTGCCGAGTGTCCACAGCGGCGTACCTACGACCGCGCCAAGGTTTCAGGAGGGCAGACAGGCGCAATTCAGCAGATACCCCAGACTCTGCCTGTATTCTGTGGCATAATGAGCCAATTAATGTGTTGAGGGACAAACTACGGCCCTCAAACCTCTTTTGGGTACTTCTATGTTACCGCTGCCGTAGCGTTTGGTGATCATAACAGGCGGCAGTAGCAGGCGTAGAAACCTTGAATGTGCCAGACGAAAAGACAAAGCTCTTTACATTCCGTGGAGTCAAAAGTGTGCAAAATGCACCGATCGTACGTTCAGCTCCACAGAAATACCTGCCATTACGACGAGAACGGGTTCGCCGCAGCCACACAAGCAACAGCAGTGGTCGTGGAAGCCGCTGCTGCTGAAGCCGCTATATTCCGATCTGAGGATGCAGGCGGTGCAGCCACAGACACACAGTACCATCCGTTGTAGGAGCAGAGACAAGACCAAGAGCAGAAGGAATACCAGCAGCTGCAGGTTTTTCGCTTGGTTTCGGATCAGTTTGTGAGCTGGAACCGACGGAACGCCCCTCGAGCCGTTCCCTGGCGCTGCAGGAGCAGTCTTTTACACGGCGTATTAACAAATCATAAGTTTGTGCCCGCCTCGTCCATTTTCTTAGCTCATTCAACAAGCCACAAGTTGAACGCAGCAACAGCAAGCAGGCAACCAGGCGCAGCACCACCTGCAACAACTGAAGCGGAGACTACACTGCACATTTTCAGCTTCGGCTCTGCAGCCACCTTAGGGGTGCCCGCCACAAAACAGGCACGGGGTCACTCAGTGTTGCGAGAGCACCAGGAGTAGCGTCTTCATCACACACGTCATTGCAAAAGGGTGGCAGCAGTTGCTACTTGTGCGTGCTTGTCGTTAGACAGAGGCTGGGCAAGGCCCAAGCAGCCGGCAAGCAGCATACTGACAGGAGGCAGAGAGGTGTCAACAGAAGTCACATCACTTTGCAGCAAGCCTGCAGCCCGAGCAGCAGCAGCAGGAAGGGCAGAAGATGGCGACTCCCTCAGATAGCGATCTCGTTCAGCTCATTGACTATGACGGAGAGATGACGTAAGACGTTTGTTGCTGATACACTTTTGCTCCCGACGTTTTGTACGCTGTTGCCTGTTGGCTGCTCAGTGGCATCGGGGCGCGCTGTACATCCTGCAGTGGTCCTTCCCCCTCCACTCAGCAGCCTCTCTGCCTGCATTGATGTAGTTTCTTTGTTGTTTATTACTCCACGGAAGCGATGGTGGCAGTTGGGGTGTAGGCACATGCTAGAAAGCAGCCACAGATCGTGGAGGGTGGTCAAAGCGTTAGGCACAGGCTGTGGCATTGCTCATTAGCGAAGCAGTGGCTATCGCAGCGCGACGTGCTGCAGCGGTACAAATGCATAGGAGGATATGAGAAGGGCTGAGAGTGCTCGACTTGGAAGAGTGGAAGCTGCGACGCGATGCTTTTAAAGCATCAGCAGAAATTGGCGTCTTCCTGACGCGCGCAGCCGCCACTCCGTATGTGCGTTTTTTGCATCCCCACCCTTCTTGAGATCGCTAACAGCCTTCAGATGTGTTTTTCACGTTGTGATTGGAGGGGCTGGTGTTTCTGCGCTGCGCACAGTGCTGATCTTGAACGGTGGATGCAAGATCAGGGTTTGGCAGATGTGGGCTTCAACTACAACGTCATAACCATTCTTGGCTCACAGAGCAGCGGGAAAAGTCAGTAGTAGCCTTGATTACTTCCTACGGCAGTGCTTCCGTTTCTGATAACGACTGGGGGATTTTGAATGATGCCCTTGCTGTGGCCGCTTCTGTGCAGCGCCGATTAACACACCGTCCAGTAAATTTTTCCTGTTGGCAGCTTTTCCTGCTGAGCTTTTTGCTGCCTCCCCCCTCCTCCTGACACAGGGACGGATTCATGGCATGGTGCGTGTTGTCATGTGACAGCGTGCGTGTGGCTGCTTGATTTGCCGTTCTTGCAATGTATGCGCAGGTACGCTCATGAATGCGTTGTTTGGCTGCAATTTCCAAGTGATGGACGCGCTGAAAGGTTACAGCCAGACCACAAAGGGGCTTTGGATAGGCCGTGATCATCTTGGCAGGAATATTGGCATCGGCGACGAAGCGGGGAAAGACACTAGTTCGAGTCTGGACCGCCCTGTATTGTTGCTAGATGTCGAGGGTTTAGATTCCCGTGAACGAGGAGAGCGGCGACAAACTTATGAGAACTTCTTTTCGCTCTTCGCCTTGGCCCTTGCGGACTGCCTGTTGGTGAACATCAGCTGTGCAGCTCTCGGTTGTCATACGGGATCGGGGTTTGGCCTCCTTAAAACTGTCATGGAGGCAAATCTAGAGCTTTTCATGCACCAAGATGAGTGCGTTATGCCCTGTTGATACACCCACACCTGCTGGCCATTGAGCTGCTCCCTGGGGGTTGGTATGCTGGAGACACCCGCTGTGTTGCGGTATAGCTGGAAGCTTGCAGCGTGCACTTGCATGGCTTCTGTGCTTTCATCCATTTGTTGCCCTTGTAGGAGCCCAATGTGAGGATGAAACTCGCGATTATGGGGCGGGTTTCATGCTCTACTTTTTCCTCCCGTTCTCCTTTTCTTGCACTCTGTTTTCCAGTTCGTATTCCACCGACCTTATGTAATGATTTGGCATTATCTGGCCGCTCATTCATTCTGTGTGTGTCATTTCTCGCAGCGCTCCCAAGACGATTCTGCTCTTTGTTGTTCGCGATTGGGCGCCGTCTATAGTGCCTGAGGGTGGGTTGCTGGAGTCGCATATCTGTTGTTGCAGGGTCACATCACGGGCTGCTGTTGTACGGATATCGCAGTCAATGGAAATCTTGAGAGAAACAATGTGATTTTGGGGGTCTGTGCCTACCGCTTGTGCCCTGTTGCGCCGTTCTTTTGCACTTGCAGACGTCATGAGAGAAAAAATCGAGAAGGACTATGTCAACAAAATTTGGGCAGAAATCCAAAAGGTGCTGCTGCTGCAACGCTTCCTGGCGCCCAGTGTTATGCTGCTGCGAAGCTGGTCGACTCGCACATCTTGCTGCATACTTGCTAGAGATGACTTCACGTGGGACGCCTGCACGACGGCGACAATCGAACTGGCAACAGCAACCCTCGAAGCGCTTGTGCTTCTGTGTGCTTCAGCCGGATTCTGTTGCAGACTCCTCCGCTGCAGATTTTTTCACGGTGGAGGTTTTCGGTCTTGCCCACAAGTTGCTGGCCCCTGCTGAATTCGAAAAGGGCGTATGCAGCCTACGAGAGAGGTACTGAACTGGCACGAATGCTGGATTCAGCCCTCTAGCATGTCTTTGGCAAGCTAAAAACAGTGCCGGTGCATCAGCGTCTTGGTACAACGAGTCCGTCGGGTTGCCTGCTAGTGCCTGTATGTTCCACAGATGGGCAGAAGCTTTCAGCCCCAAGTCGTACACGCGCAAGATTCCAGCAGATGGTTTCGGCGCCTATGCGAGGAGCATCTGGGTAAGAAGTCAGCTGTCGCATCAAGTGTATGAAGACATGCAGCAGTTTGTGCACCCCTGTACACCGCGAGGGTGGCACAATTGATTTTCGAAGGCGAATGAGGTGGTGTGGGCATCAATGGCGGCAGCGCACAAACACACAGACACACACAAACCCATCTTACGGCTCACGGAACTTAATTTGCTCGTCCTCTGTGATTGCCGTATTCGTTGCTGAACCATCACAGGAGACGATAAAGCAACAGTCGCATCTGGATATTCCCAACCAGAAGGAGATGCTTGCGATTTACAGATGCCAGGACCTGAAGCGAGAGGCCCTGCAGGCAGCGACTTCACGCGCTGCAGTACTTCAGCAGAACTACCCTAAGCCGACTGCGGCAAACGCAGCAGCGATATCGGGCAGCATGGAATCCATTGCCAAGGATGCACTGGGTGTGGTAGCTCGTCTGCGCGTGGCAAGCCCGTTGGTGTATCCGCGTCTATATTTTGTAACTATGGATCTATTGAAGTGCTGGAATAATTTTAAATGGGCGGTGTTGAGTCGAAGGGCTGTGGCTGCTTGCATATCGTGCTGTTGCTGCTGCAGCTCAGTACCTATCGCAGGCTGCGCGATACCAAGAGAAGATCTGTACCAGCGTGAAGGCGGAGCTAATTGACGCGTGGGGCTGGCCTCTTCTGTCTTTCAGTTGTTGTGGGAACTCATGGATGGTTACTTTTTTTGCGGCTGTCACTGGCTTTGTTGCAGTTGCGTGGGGGCCTGTGTGTGCGGGCTTCTGGCAGTGTAAGGCGGTGTTTTGTTTTGGGGAAAATCTGGAAAGCGAGTCGGCTTTTAAACCCCTTGGCCATGACTGACGTATTCTTTTCTGCTACAGCATCGCTGTTGTCCTCAAGCCCATGGTAGATGCTCAGCTCACAGAGGCTCGAGAGACCATTGCAAGGAGGCATAAAGACGCACTCAGGTAGCAGTTATGTTGCCCTCATGATGCATTCGGTGCAGCCCCCACCATCCTTTAGAGAGTCTGCATGCTGCTACTCTTGTATGAGTGCGCTCATGCTTCCTGCCATGCGCTGTCAATGTGTCTGCTGCCCCCAAAAGAGAGGCCTACACCAAGGACGCGCGCGACACCGCAGTCTCGGTGAGGGCTTAGCACAATCCTCAGCAGGAGGCTTGATGGACAAGAAGAAGGCAGCAGGCACACAAGGCAGTATGGTGTAGAAACTCGAATCGCTTGGCGACAAGCAGTGGAATAGCCTGTTTTCGTTGACGCAGGCACGGGGGGAGTCCATGCTGGAGGCATGGGCGGCTTTCAACAAGAGGAGGTCTGTTACGACTCTGACAGCGCCACCTCCTTGTGTGCCTAAACTGCCAGCAATGTAGCGTTCTGATTTTGCTGCTATTCAGAGGCTTGTGGTTGTGCCTGAGCATCTGTTGCACCATGGGCTCTTTTGGTCATTCCCAGCACGTGTTCAGGTCCATGCCGATGCTCTGGTATCTTTCTTTGCTCGCTGCAGCGCCGCAGCAGTGGCCGCTGCAGCAGCGGATTTTCTCGCATTTAGCGAGGAACGCAGCATTCGATTGGAAGGGGGCGAGCACCTCCATTTCCCGAGTAACCTCATCGCCGATGCGCTCCAAGGTGAGGACCGTCGCTCCGATTCTATTTTCATCTGCATCTGCTCGATACGCCTTCGCCGTCGGTTGACCTCCATTCGTGCTATTTAGTTACAAAACCTTTAGACCGCAATTCCGTCAGGAATGTTTGCATTTTTGATGAATTAACGGGCGTCATTCGCTTCACGCGACAAGCTGTGGTGGAACTCCTGGTGAAACGGTAAATCCATCATCAGATGTGCTCCTTTTGGTGTGTCGCGCGTGACTTTTGTTTTCTGCTCAGTGGAGATGCATCAGGAGGTAGAAGCCATCCGTGAAACCCAGCAAAAAGCTCTCGATGAGGCGATTGCGGTGCGGCCCAGCTCGTAATTGCTGTGCGAGTCTCTTTTTGTGTGACTGTAAGAGTTGAAGCGCAGCGTTCGGGCGCCACGTTTCTGACTTACTACTCTGCATTTGGTGTGCTGTGTGGACAGGAGAAATGCGCTGACAGTTTTACTGGCATTGACGCTCACCTCACCACTCGAAGTGCGTTAGTCTTGCTCCTCGCTCCGTGGCACAGCCCTAATCGGCATAGCGGTGAACGGAGAACGCGAATCAGCAGCCTCACATTCGTGTGCTTCTTAAATGTTCTCAGATTTTACACCCCATAACTTCTGGGAGGCGTGCAGGGGGCGTGCTGCAACAAGCGCAACGTTGTGCGCTGCCCAGTTTGCCGCTGCTGGACGGGGGCTTGCTGCGGATATTCCGGATGGAGATGCAGCAGTAGCAGAGGCAGCGGCAGCGGAGTTCGCAATTCGCTGCCGCCTGTTGGCTCTCTGGCAATTGAGGATCTGCCTTTCAAAACTGGTTGGTGGTCTCCATGTCTATATCCTGGAGCGGTAAGATTATGTCTTGTTCTGTTTTAATGCGCCTTTCCCCCAACTTTTGCCGGTTGCTGCATGCTATTTATTGCCTAAGCCCCTACCACCTCCTCGACCATCTCGAGGTGTACTCTGCCCGATGCGTTATTTTGTGCCTTTTGAATTTTTTCTCTTGAGCATGTCTATCGCTGGAGTTCATGCGTGTCTCTTTCGGTGGCTGTGCGTTGCTGTGGACTCGTGTATCGGCACCCTTTTCACATCCCACTGCGGCATTGGATGCCTTACGAGGCCCTTTCTTTCTTCTACTCCGACTCTGTTTCCGTCCTCCAGTTTCTCTTCGCTGTTTTCCTATGATGACGACGATCACCCTCGGCGTTGGGAACTGGTTTCGGCCGAAAAGCTGCAGTCGCTATTTCTAACTGCCAAGACCCAGGCACTTGGTGCGTCTCTCTACTTGCTTTCGGAGTATTGTGTTCGCGATGGGGGCTCACTTATGGGCACGACGTCTTGTATTTTGGGATGATCCAACAGCGATCGCGAGTGTAATACGTGTCTCTCTTGCCGACCAAAGGGGGTCATGATGCCCGTGTGGTACCGTGTTTGTCTATTGTCGGCTTACGCGTTGTGCAGCCCTTATACCAACCCTTCGTGAGGTGCAACTCGAGCGTTTGAGTCTTACTACAGTGACGCTTGAGGCGCATGAGGAGTCAGAAGATATGGCAGAGAGAGCGGTAGACACGGATGGAGAGGATGACAAAGACAGGAAACCCATGCCTGCTGCCTACTACCGGCCACTGATTGACCCTATATCGGCGCAAACCATTCAGAGAAAAGCCGTTGCAGCGATGCAGCAGCAGTGTCGGGAGGCTCAGCTATTGCAACAGCGTTGCGGTAGCAGCGCATCATGGCGGTCTGTGCCTATGTGGGGGTGGTTGTTGTTGGTGTGCCTTGGCTGGAACGAGATAGCTATGGTTTTTTCTTTCATGACAAGAAACTGGCTAGCCCTACCGTTGCTGTTCATGGCTTTACTCCTAGTAGCAGGGGTCTTCATGAGTGGTCAGGTGGAAGTCGCGACACACGGAGCGAGGCACGCAGTGCAGCTCATTCGGTTGCTGCTGCAGCCCTTTCTGCACGGACTTCTCAAGACGGTGACGGACATGATGGATGTAAGGTTGTGGTCGCAGCACGTGGTCTTTATCCTTGTAGCTTCGTGTGTGTCTCGCTGTCACTGTTCTTTCGCGTAGAAGGAATGAGCGCATCACTTCGTGAAGGCATTACCCCTTGAATGCTGCTACTTTTGCTGTGGGTTGGTTGCTGCAGCCCAGTGGCCTTGCAGGACGGGGTGTTGTGCTGTCTCCTCGTGAAGGGGCCAGCGTAAAAGAGAGTTCTCAACAGTACGTTCGTATTGTATGCAGTTGTGTAGCCAACTAGCGTAGTTGCGAGCTAGCGAGCTTGCGTGCTGTACAGCTATCTTGCGTAAGTGCCCGGCAAGGTATGAATGCATGGTTGTGGTATGTGCTGTATGCCCCTCAGGACGCCTAATGAAGTGGCGGCGCTCAAGGAGAGGGCTGCTAAGCATAGCCACTCTTGAATCCAGCGGAGGTGTACACCTCGCCAGTGTAGCATTTGCAACGTCTGCGGCTACCGCTGCACTCGGTGCCATTTACCCTTATCCAAGAAAGCGTAGCTACGTTGAGGGCGGGCGGCCTCTTGACCGCTTCTTCGCCCGGATTCGTTTTATTTCCCAGTGGAAGACTATTATCTCCAGTTGTGCATGTTTTATTTGCGTGGGTAGAATGTGATCACCCCTGGATCAACATGTATAGATCTATAATATTACAGCCACATGAAACATGGCATCAATAAGAATTTAAAAGCTGCCCACAACATAGTTGTGTGAAAAGAATATTTCTTGACTCACGACCTCTGTGGCACTGCTTCTCTGCTGATGCTTTGAGTCTCTCTTCAAAGGGCTTCGTGCTTCAATCCGTACAGGTAGTGGTGCACTGCTAGAAGTAGTTGCAAGGATAAATGTACACCTATACCAGACAGAGTGAATATCTGGCTCGGATGTTTGCACTAGCTGGGCCGGCCAATAGAGATAGCTGTCTGTACTGCTGATTTTACATCCCCCCCCAGTAGATACACAAAGTTGGTAGCCAATCGGCGTGATTTCCTATGTACGACCAGTAGAATGAAAGCACATAGTTTGGAGTTATAGCTCTGTACTTTATGTAAGGAAGTAGCGCAGTTCCAACTGTTAGATCAATGAGTGGGCTTACTAGCATTGTCACAAGACCTTGTCTCCACACCCCAGTAGAGATCGTGCTGGGTGTTCCTGCACGCCAGGGTTCTTCATTTAAAAGGACACCTCGCCAGCGCTACTTCGCAGCATCCTGTGAAAGTGCATCAATCTTCAGAGCATTGGCGACCACTTGGCTCTACAAAATACTATTAGAGCGGATCATGATCAGCCGTATATCCGCTTTTGCGATCGTACGCGTCCATTTGTGCGCTGGGTAAACACGTAACGACTTACTGCTAAATGAAGCAGGAACTCCTTTTGTACTAACAGACTCTTGATACACCGAGGTGTTATTTGAATGGGCAGGGTGCTTCAGGTACGCAAGTGAAGGCTTCCGCTACCTCTCAGCATTATGATGCCTGGAAATCTTGGTGCGCCTGTTAACAAGCAGAGCAGCTGTACTAGCTTGTCCAAAGCAACATGAATGCCACATACCGTTTCCATCACCCTTGACCTTACTGACTTATCCAAAGCAGACGCACCACGGACTACAATTTGATCCCATATTGCTCGAGATTCTCCTGGTGGAAAATAAGTGCGTACACCACTCGAAAGCACGGCTCTGTAGGCGCGTACAAGGCGGTCATGTGTGGGATTGACCTACGGCCCTGTGCAATGGCAAGAGATCTGGCTGGAGCGGATCACCGGGAACCGGCGGCAAAATTCACCGCCTTCGTGAGTGCCACTGACATCGACACAACAAGGCCTTCCGTATATTCAACAGCAATTTGGCAGGCAATTGTCACGTGGGTCATTCTTACCGAGTTTTAGCATTCGAAGGCAACGTAAGGTGTTCTATTGGAGTCGTTTTTCTGACGGAGCCACAAGGACTGTATACAGTCCAAAGGGCGCTTCATGCGCCATCTGCTCGCCTGGTTTCTAATCTATTACGAGCTACGGGGGGCCAACGGGATACTTCGGGAAGCGGGTGTCAGTTGTACATTCCGTGTGTTCAGCTCATAGGCGTGTTCAATGCTTTCATCATTACACGGATTCAGACAGTGGTAACGCTGATTACATAGCCTTCTCGTGATACATTTATCGGCTTAAACTGTGGTTCTTTCCTTTTGTGCACTCTTAAGATTGCATGTCGGTCGAACCATTTACTATGCGAAGCTCGTGCCGGATACATCGTTTGCATATCTCATTCAGATTCGGAGTAAACGGCTATGAGGTAGCATCGTTTTAGATTAACATAATGATTCATAATTGTAATACTAATAGGTGCTTTTTTAATGGGTAACGCAAAATTCTTGTGAACCTGATAGAATTGGTATCAGGGGCACCACGGCCACTTTTCTTATATGAGACATTTACGAGTGTAAAATGAGACTTCGCGCCAAGCTACATGTGCATTGATAGTATGTCACCTCATCTGTCGCAACGAGTTGAGGACTCAGGCATGTGCTTACGCAGCAGACCTATATAGAGATCAAGAAGTCCATTGGATCGCATGGATTAGGATGTATGACAAAGCAGAGGTTGAAAAACCGAGAAACGAATCAATATGCGCGTTCAGGACAAATGATCCTACCCGTTGGTTAGCGTAGCACTTCCTGGAGTACCATATATCTTAATTCACGCCGCACCAAGAAATCCCGCCTAAATACTCAGCTGTGGATGACTAGAGAGTACCAAATAGTGTTGCATAGAACGTCAATATACGAACGTTTTATCTACATGCGGCTTTAATAGGACATCTGCCGCCGATTGATAAAGGGGTCTCGAAACCATGTATGGCTGCGTACTTGTAACCTGGCGGAGCTGAGGTATCAGTGCGGGGCTGTACATCGAAATAGCTATTTTTACGCATGCATGACTTCGTGTGAAAGGTCAATATTTAAGATACACACTTACTGTGGCAATACCGTATAGCGGGCTGGGCTACACCTGAACACGCTAAAATAAATATTGTAGTTAAAAGAGCTCAACTGCGCAGGTTATGCACTAGAGGTTCATATACTGTACTTGTTACACATCAGGATTGACTGCATATAATCAGAATGTATGCTGTGCGACTGACACTACAATATTTTACTATGCCTGATGTGGTGTCTGTAGAGTCAAGCGTCGCCCCATTGGCTTGCTAGTTGGCGTTTGGATAAGAAAAATTGCAATAGCTGAATGAGGGAACTCCGACTAGAAAAGAACCAAACGATTATACAATAAAGCATATACATCCGAGATGTAGGTAGCATACAAAAATAAGAATGTGGAGAGGGGCTGTGCGGGTGGAAACAAGACACGTGGAGGACTACGCTGCATAGTCAGTCTATTAAGCTTCGAGGTATCAGAATTCAAATTACAAAGCGTTCTCAGCAGCTGTACACTCCTGTATTCGATGAGGCGTACTGTTAGCCGCCTATTGGTCTCTCAATCGGCCGCCTCAGCACAGTGTATCGCATGGTCCAATGCGCACTATAATTCCCAACCCAGGAACTCTCCATGGTAGGTCTCTATAGAACGACACGTATTATTCGACCGAGTACAAGCCCCATAGCAAGTCAATGAATGTACAACCAAGACAGCGTTGTCTTTCCCTTGCTCGCAACTAACAGATTACTTATCTAGCGATCCATTCACCCCACCTTTTACAGGCTCGCAACCGAAAACGTGACCCTAGAGCAAAGCTTGGGCATTAGCCACTCCAAAAAGCTTGTCGAAGACCTCAAATTCGCACGTGCACTTATGGAAGGCTCTCTTGTGTCTGTCCACAGAGCGGACGGTAATTTGTAAGAAGGCGTCCGTGAAATCGCAAATGCCGCGGCGACTGCTGAAGCGTGCACTTTGTCGAACAATTCGCCAGTATGGAAAGGTAATAATTTCTGCTAGGCAATAATGTTTCTATACGAGTATGATGATAGCCTAGCTGCGCCAAATTATGCTTTCTTCTGTACTCAAATTCGATCATGCCTAGAGGTGCTAGTCGATATCCGCGCTTCGAGTTTTCCAGCAAAACATCCGTCTGCCACCACGTTTCATCTCATTTGTCTTGGTGTCTTCGATACTGCGGGATCTGGCTAACAGCATCCACACACTAGCGCGACACAATGCCCTTGACGTGCAATAGTTTGCCAGATTGCTCGCAGGGCGTCTTCATCTAGCATATTCGCGAACTTTTCCATACTAGCCCATTCCTGCTGTTCGTCAGGCAATGTTTTATTGAAGTTCCTGACATAGATCCGAATGCAGAGGATATATGCTCAGAACCGTCTTCTCGTGCTGCTCTGCTGACCCACCCGCACATGGCTCTCTCTCATCTCGTTCGGGTGCCGGATTTACCCCGCTCTCCACTGGTGAAGCAAGTGTTTTTGAGGAGAATAGGAGATGCTGCATCCTAGCTCTACTTGGCGGAATAACCTCCACAGCATGCAGCTCTGGGTGCGCGCGCTCTCCATTTGGCCACGCATGACATTAATAGGATTATTTATTGGTTCACAGTTCCAAAAAAAATAAGTCATGCTGACCGAACCTTTATCCAATTTAACATGCCATTTGTGCCCCATCACTTTGCCAATCCTCGGGTTCGGCCTCCCGTCAGCAGGCTTCACTTTGAGAGACTGCCGAAATGAGTGAACAGGCTGATGGTACTTCTGCACCGTCTCTCTGGATATCAGATTCTCTTCGACATCCAGTGTCAAGTAATTTAAGCAGTTCCTGATCTCAAATGTGAAGCTGTGTCGGCGCAGAATTGAGTTTTAGGGGGTCTTCAACAAGGGTTCTACCCTCGGTAGCCCTCTAACTGCGCCTCAACCTGTGTGGGGAGCTTTCTGCTTCTCTTGTGCTTGGCTATGCCGTGTGCTTGCGGTTGCGGGGTATATGTCCCGGTTTCCCGGAACGGGAGGCGCGAGTCATTAGGGAGGCTGTCTGGGGCTGCAAAGGCGAGCGGTTTGTTATAGTGTTATATTAGTGCGTAGCCAGGGGGCCGCATTTCCCCCGTCCCGAGACTTATGTGCTTAAAGTCTTAAGTTGGCTTTTTCGGCGGCTTTCTCCACGGAGGTTCCATTTTTGGCAATTGAGACCTGAAGGGGTCCATGGTTTCCGGATATCCGATCGGTCTGTTGTTAACTCACTGCGTGGCTTTACACCCTAGGCCTAGACGACGTGAAATTTCCGGTACACGTCATATGAAGCATGTAATAAGATAGCTGTTGGTCTTCATTGTGGCGTTTGGAAGCCATATATTCATATTTCTCCATAAAGCGATGCTTTGTCAGATTCTGCTGCTCCAGCCAATCTGAACTCTTCCAAAACTTTTTCAGTGATCCGACCTGTGCATAACGCGATGAGGTGAAGAGTGTATGAAGGCTTTAGGGTCGCGATTCCCGCAGGCAGACGAGCTTCTCGACATTAATAGAGTCATTTAAAATAAAGTTTTTCTCCTTTCAGAAACACATGTGGGAAGACTCACCTTTATCTTCCTGCACTGCCTCATAACCATCTATTATTGTTGTGGTGGCTAACGAACTACCCCTTTATACCCGCTGTAAAAAGGCTGCGTTCTTATCCGCTTGCAGGCCTACCGTCCACGACTCAAGGGGGGTTTTGCCACCGCCAATTTTTATCGCCACATATCTTTTCCTGATAATAGGGTACTTAAAAGCTTGCCCAGACACACGGGCGGGCTATAAAGAAATCTTAAAGCGCACCGCACTCATCACCAGTGGACCAGAAGGCAACTGCTGGTCCGAATACTCCGGCTCAGTCAGCTGTATCGCTTCACTTGAGATGTCATTATAGAGATGCGGCACACCAAGGCTCTATTGAACCTTACTGGTAAGTCGTGCTGGGTTCATTCGAAGAGCCCCTCAGCATTCGTGATATGGCGCAAGAGCTACCGCCAGAACGCATAGAGCCGCATGTTTGAAGCTCTCCGAGCACCCACAGCTGTCTGCGCAAGGCACAAGCACGCAGGCCCACAGCATCGCGTCTTCTCGCAGTACTCTGCAGCAAAATAGAATTATTGAGTGTTCGAATGATGCAATGGCTTTCTTACCTTTCTAAAAGGCTATAATTAATGTAGTAAAATCATCCAGGTGTAGCTATTCGCCGCTACTCGTGCTCTTCCGCCGCCCCAAAGGTCAACTATTTGAAAGGCTACCCTTCATATCTGTGGTGATTCGTGGTCTATGTAGAACTTGCATGAAAAGCTTTACTGTTAACACTCATGCATAAGTTGCTTCCGCCAAATCTAGAATGGTGAAAATGAGAGGCAGTTCCACATGAAGAAATTCCCTTGGTGGCAATAACAAACCAGAGGCTCTAGGGCTCGTACATTCTAATTTGGCTCCGCAATGTTGCTTTCCATATAACATTATCTTGCTCTTTGGAGCTGTGATGAGATTCACACTATAGTGGAGAAGATTTTAAATCCTTCAGGTAAGCTGGGATGGGTCCTGCGTCACCAAAGCGTGCCTTGTCATGCACATATTGTCACCAGCTGAAGCCGCTTGGTTCTCCTATACTCAGTCTCATGCAAAGCCTTCTTGTTCCTGAGCGGGTCTGGGCTAATCTGACTACATACCTTGTTATTGGGCTGCCGCACGTTAGCATTAGAATACCAGCTATCTCGTTGTCGATGGACTTAGCTGTTATGCGCACTTGATCCCATGATACAGCTCTGTCAGGGCACAGGACGCTGCTTTCTAATGGTCAAATCATGTCTGGAGGCTTTACTAATTTTTTAGGACTATTATGCTGCACAGGAATCCGAGGTTTATTACAGCGTCGTAACTTGACCTAATGAGAGCTTGCCTGTTGACCGCAGAAAGTTCGATGCGAACCATACTGACATAAATGGTGAGAGGGCGCTCCAACGGCACCTTTCTGCTTTATATGCTACTCCATGCTCCCCCAAAATTAGATGCTCGACTGGACTTTCTTTCCCCGGCTGAGTTAGTTTATATTACAACTCTGTAAGCTTTTGCTTGTTGCTCTCCCGCATAAACGGTCTATGTTCAGCCGTTCTTAGGTGCGGACCTAGATCTGATGGTCCGAGTTCAACAGCTATCCTAATCGGAAGAGGAAGTTAGAGATCTGCTTGATAGTGCGCGCGAATGCAACCGCAAAGCTCAAGAAAGACGCGTCAGTAGTATGATCAGCGCCAACGGGCTGTGTATTTCGAGCCTGAAGATTCGTTTGTAGTGGATCGGGAAGCTTTATGAGGGTAAACCCGAATGTGGCTAGACGAAGGTGTTCGCCGTTAAGTGGCTGGGACCATTTCCCAGCCTCCGACGTAACAATGCTCTTCCCTACTCTTTACTTCTGTGGAGTGTGGATGATCCACAGAAATATTAAGCTAGGCTTTTTGAAGCAGTCCACAATCTACTTTGTGTATTTGAAGGCATTATCGCAAAGCAAAAACGATTCGTGTGGAGACGTAGGATTCACAGGAAATCATAAAAGCCTTGCATTCTAGGATTTTTGAGCTGTGAGGACATTACACGGAAGCTTCGAACAAGGTGCAGTGGGCAACGTCAGCCTCAGTGGTTGGCGGAGTAGCAGTCACGAAATTTATCGCCTTTGGAAGCATTCGCCGTTTAGCTTAGTTAATAAAGCTAGTCGTCGTTAACGATATCCCCGGTGTTCCCTGGTAATTGCCACTCCACAACGCATGCTTCAAGTGAAATCGATACCTACTCCTATGGGTATTTTTTAACTTGTTTTTGTTTGTTGAAGTAAATATGTTCTCTATAGTCAATCATATGCGCAGACACTTTTTGAGATGATACCTCTATGTTCTTGCATATAAATGTCTTGGGGTAATGGATACAGCTAGGCGGTGTGCACCGGCTGTATTTACATGCAAACATTGCTGCATGGGGCGGGAAAGCACTGCTGGACTGACGCACCCTGTGATTGCCTTCATAAATTGTACGTGTCTTCTGTGATCTCGTACCAGGGCCCTCACACATTTCATCGCTTCGACCAAAGCAAGCCATCGCACTGCCGCGGTCGTCTTGGTTACGACCCTCGGACGGGGTCTACTGCATGAGCCAATTCCTCTTTCTGCTACCATCGAACGTTAAAAAACACACTCTGGCTTTTTCATTTGCATCCTTTTACACGCCTCTGGATCGACAAACAGGGCGATGGGTTGGAATGCTTCTGTTCTACGGCATGTAGTTTGTGTCGAGTAGCAATTGCAAGTTAAAGTGTGCTTCAAAAGGGGGGATGCGAATATATAGCGAGGTAAGCTACCTCACTACACTTTGTGCTGATAGTTACATCTTTAAAACAGTTTGGGGATTATCGGTTAGAAGCTTTGTCTGCTGATAGATCTTATCAATTGCGATGTGCTGCTCGCTCGATACGAAAGAAAGCAATGTGGAGAGCGTGTGAGCTATGGGTTGTCTTGTGCACCTCGCGATGCGCAGAGGATGCAGCTACCCGCCTCCTACCAGCCCTCCACCCTAATGCCGACGACTCTGAGGCGTTGGGCAAGGAACACGGAAAGTGCTTCTGTAGAAGCACTGAATAACTTATTATCAAGTTTGCCTTGAATGTGGAGTTAGATGCCTCCCTTAGAAGACCTTATAGGGGATGCTGCACCCAGTTGATTTGAAACTGACTGTAGCATTGAATCATGTGGTGTTGCTATTCGTGGCACTCCATCTGAGTTCTTTACAAAGATGTACTTATCTCCAGCCTCCGTACAAAATCATGTGTGACTATGCTTCCCAAATGAACTCCCTCCCTTCCCTGCATTTTGTCCTGAAAACGCCCCACATGGGGGGACGACACGTAGGTTGGACGTATCTTCACCCTGGAAGCTCTCTAAGTATTCTCAGCTAGGTGCACACAGCATCTAGGGCACAAAGACAGAACATTGCGTCCCCTAGTCTTGAGCCAGGAGTAGTCTGCACAATAGAAGATACACGAGGAACAGCAGCAAACGGTTATTTCTCACTGTTCAACAGTCAGCTGCATGACTAGTGTTGTAAAAAGGGTATGAGTGTAGCTTTGCCCGCAATAGTCTCACTCTTGACTGCCACTTACGGGCTTACCACGCATATTTTTGCGCGGTCACATACTAATAGGGTCGTATTCATTGGGACACTGTCGCTAAAATGCGCATATTTTAGCAGTGTAAGATTTGCAAATTTGCGATCTGTGAGATGCAGTTACCACGATGCCCTGTGAAAAGCGACCTCTAAAGCTTCGTGCCTCCGTAAGGCAACCTGGAAAGCATCCAGCAAAATATTGAGTGTTTCGCAAAATTTACTAGGAGTCCATCAATTTAAATGTACCTTGAGTGTATTGGACACGGTTCATGAGAAATTAGAAGGTGCTCGTGCACGGACAAACACATGCTTCGATATTACGTTTCCCCGTTTTTAAGCGTGGTGACGCAAACGTGTGCCGGAATGTCCGCTACCATTCACGCCCACAGCCGATTTTATGATCGTGTCACGACACTTCAGACACCTTAGCTTGCGTTTTGTTTGCTGTATGCGTCGCTTCACTTCTTTAGGCTCTTACTGATGCAGCAGCAGCCTGGGGCCTCACCCGGGTGCCGGCAGCGGCCGCCTGCGTCGGCTGGCATTTACATCTCTTCCCGGAGTTCTCTTTAGAGGTATTTGGCGCCATACCGGGGTATATTCACTGTCTCTTTGAGCTTAAAAAAGGGCTGCGAATTACTCAGAGAGCACGCGCTTATGCCGTACCACGTGGGGCTTCCCTGTAGGCATCCAACTGGTGCCCCGGAACATTTTGTCTTGCGTCTGGCGGAATACTTTGGCCAGACATAGGGTGTGAATTTCCTATTTCTGCTCGCGCACGGAAACCTAGTACCACCCGTGTCTAGTACGACGACTGGGGGCATCGCGTGCTGTGCGCTCTTCCGCGAGCAGCTTTCGTGTGAAGGCCGCAATTGTCTCTTGATTCCCAGCACGGACGTTCCCTGAAGGGATTGAAAAGCGAAGCGCTTTGGTTGCGATGATGGCCTCAATGAGCGCAGAGGAGTTGGCCGACCAGCCCTTCTCCTCACGTGTCTGGGCAAGCATGGGCAGAGTCAGCAGCGCGTATTTAAATAAATCTATTATCTACCTCAAGACCCGTTGGCTTGTATTTTTTGCCTGCATGGCCTTCTACGTGGTCCGCGTCTATCTGCTCTCCGGCTTCTTTGTGGTAACATACGGCCTGGGGATATACCTACTGAACCTTCTGATTGGTTTTATCTCTCCCCAGATAGATCCTGAAACAGACGAGTATGTGCTGCCTGTCCGCGGCGGGGGCGCTCAGTCAGACTCCGGAGAATTTCGTCCCTTCCTTCGCCAATTGCCTGAGTTCAAAGCGTGGGTTTCGGGGATGCGAGCGTTGCTGATAGCCATTTGCATGACGTTCTTCCAGGTGTTCGACTTACCTGTATTCTGGCCAATCCTGCTGATATACTTCATTCTTCTCTTCATCCTGACGATGAAGCAGCAAGTCAAGAGAATGATCAAGTACAAGTATCTCCCCTTTTCCTGGGGTAAGCAAACCTACGGGGACATAACTCGAGGCAGCGGCAGCCACAATGGATCCAGCGCCAATTCTCCGAAGGCCGCAGGAACCAGCACGGCTCCTGTCCCCTCTTACGTTTCTCATGAACACTTCGCTGCAACTTACGTTCTCCGTTGACGGCTAACTGACTTCTGGGGCCCTTGTGCTCCGTGAGCAGAGAGAACCGCACCGCTCACATGATTGGGAAGAACGGGCAACCGAGGGGGCTACTCTACGAAACAGCACTTGAAGAGGATCAAGGAACAAGCCGGAGGGCTGTTTCAGGTGATGAAAGCCCACATTTTACCGTGCCTTTAGCTTTGAGCCAGTCTCCTGACCCTTGGCGGACTCAGCTACCTACGAGGCGTGGCGTCAAGGCATCGTGGCCAGTGGAGGCTTCCTACTGCATCCTTCATTGTGCCTCCACCATATGTTTTTCCACTGTGCCCTCACTTGGTGGCAGAAAGTGGCATAATGCTTTGCGGATTCCTCGTTTGAGTCCACTGTCGTAGTAGCTTTGAAGGGCTGTTTAGACGAAACTTGCCGTTTGGCGAACGCGCGCTCTCTGACTCACTGCTAACCCCAGTATGGGCTTTCTTTTCTCTTTCACTTTCTAGCTTCACTAACGCGTCATGCATTCAGCCCATAGTGTATCTGCAGTCTTTTCGTGAGCATGCATCGTGCAACGACCAACTCCTGCGGTCAGTACGTGTTGCGTGTTACCTTGCAGTCAATTCTGATAGCGGAAGGTTTTAAATGCCTCATTTCAAAGGGGCGGAAGCTGTTATGTTAGCAAAGCAAAGCCCTGCTTAAGCGGTGGTGGCAGAGTGGTATGCACGTTGATGCGTCCACAGGGACGCCACCCTCACCACAGGCATCTTGTCGTTTAGGAAAAAAGTGAGCAAGTAGGTCTATGGCGGATAATCTCGGAGTGTAGCGTGTTAAAGGGCAATTCAATAGAGTCAGCTTCGCCAAACGGCTCCACAGAGGCCTTCACTCCTCTTCGGGTAAAGACAATACCAATGCACACGTTAGGCACAAAGATTTGGGCGTACGGCGGCAATCACTGACCGGAAGAGCGTCTATCTACTTTTGCACTCCCTTGAGTCTGAGGCGCATTTCTACCAGGCTTCAGATGTGCATTCTCCTTATAACAGAAGCATCCTGGTACATGCCGTGGAGCTAGGTTCAAGACACCCAGTAAAGCCTGTGCCGCGGGAATCGCGAACAGGTCAGCCTGCTGTGTAGTCACAATGGGGAGGCCTAATCTATGGTAATCTACGGCCCCATACTGTTAAGGAACACTAGAAAGGTTTTTTACTCCAAAATGCGCTAGTAATTCATTTGTCCTTCTCGTTAGGCTGCCGGCTCAGTTTCTTTCGATGCTGAGTCAGCGCTTTGTACTACCTCGTATGCTGCTTCTCTCGCTTTTTGATTTGAGCTTAAATGTGCCGACAAATTATTTACAGAACGGCGTAAAGATACCGATTAATAACGGATTGGATTTCAACTACTGTAAGTGCACGATGTACCTAAACTTGTTGAGTTCCAACATCACCAGGAAAAGGGAAAGAAAGAAGCGTGCTAATTATTAGGTTGAAGAGGGAAAGTGATGCAAACGTCTGTTATAGAACCATAATAAGCCACAGCGGGTACCTAATCTTTGTGGTGTCCCTGACTGCAGCACGCATTGAATTCCTGCACTCAACGATGATTGATATGATGGATAGTAAATTTTCAGAGGGGATGCTACACCTTGACATGCACATACACAGCACAACGCGTCGAAATATGTCTGTTGGGTGTGAAAATAGCTGCAAAGCTCTTCGACCACTGCGCTTGTTGATGTAGTGACTCCATTTCCGCAGCTCCAAGCCGAAACACCCAGTATCCAGGCTGGCAGGTTATCCATTAAGCAAGGGACACACGAGGCGAGACCACCAGAAACACTCAAGTCTTGTTCCATTCAAACATAAATGAGCTTAATGTCCTTACCCGCAAAGGCATCGGGAGCTTGGTACTCACGATTAAGATCGCGTTCGCGAGTCCCTCAATCCATGGCAAACCGAATAACACTGACAGTTGGTGTTCTGACGAAAGTGGTAGCGTTTCAAAAGTGTTTATTGCTGCTGGGAGAGGTACAGATCTTGTTACGGGAGCCCCCGGAGCAAGTATTGGGGGCGAAAACAGCGGAAACTATAGAAGGTACAGCAGAGAGGTGCACCACGGGTAGCAGTGTATCGAGGGCAAATAAAGTGAAGTGGATGCTCTGAACTGATCCTGGTCGTATGTTGCTTCCTTGTGCAAGTAGGTGATCAGGGGCGTGTGCATTCTAGCCGGAGAACCAACTTGTAAAGCAGGTAATTCGCTGGTCAGCATCCCAACAGGGGCATGCGTATACTCAGTCCCGCAGCAGAGCAATGCTTGAGCTATATGCCTTTGCTGTACAACAACATAACCTTCAGTCAGCCTCTCTGTCAGGTTGGGCGCAGTGGACGCGTTTATGAACACAAACGTTCATCGATACATACTCGCAGAAATGCGCTGAGTTTAGGGAGTGAATTAGTCACTTTTGTTTCTGGTAGGAGCTCAACTAAGAATCCATACATGCAGGGCTAAGTTGAACACTGAAAAGCACACCTGGGTATGAGCAGACTGGGTAGAGATAAGAACAGTTGCTGCTTCGCCTGAATGCTTAGGGTACACTTCCCCGCACCAGATGTACAGTACGAAAAATCACATACGGTCGAGAATGATATCAAGTGCATAAGCGAACAACGCTGCTTCTTGGTGTACTAAACAACCGCTTCTACGTACTAGATATGATATGTGAAGCGCCGGAACAAATGATGAATTTTTTTCTAACTCGTGATTTCATACACGTAGGCAGCAGAAGGCGTCACAGTATAAAAAATAATCCGCTACAGCTTCAGCACACCAACCCTCAGAGAAGGCGAACACACCGGGCCCTTAAGCGACACCCTAAACAAAGGCATGCCAGCAAAGGAATCCTCATTTGCAATCCATCTTACCCCAATATCGCGATTCAGATGGGGACAGGCACGACAGAGGCCAGCACGCGCGCGAATACAGCAAAACAAAGGCAAAAAAGTGACTTTACAAACCACATGCCGAAGACGGCCTATGGAAAGAACACGCATCTCTTTTGTACGTCGGTTCGTAGAGCAACGCGAGGCTCTTCGCGCTGCATCTGTTCCACGACGCCTTGAATGAGCAGCAGATGCTACTCGAGTTTGCTATCGGGAGGCACCGTTGGGCGGGAGAGAAGAAATTACACCTCAAGCCTCATTCTTCCTCCCCAGGGCACCGAAGTTCCCATTTAGTGATGCCCCTAAAGCAGTTGCGCACTGTGTGATGGCGCCGCATAGAGGAAGCCACTTCAAATTAGCAGTGCAAAAAGAAACCTGGTCATCTTAGAAGTCCGTAAGTAGAAGCTATTCGAGTATGACACAGTATGAGAAGCCCTTTGGTGGCCGCATTACGCCTATGGAGAAAAGTAATTGATGCAGCGCGTGAGGGAGTGCTCTTTAGCTGCAAACGCCGACGTGCACGCCCGAGAATCCCGAAAGAGCTGAAGCTTTGTGTGTCCACCAGTGTGCTGGGAGCGATGCAACAGAAGAAAAGCAATGCTTACAAATGCCCGTATCGACACTCAGAAGTGCTGCCTTGTACCACTGCGCACAGCGTCCGCTCAGTACTACGGTACAGCCGCCTGCCCCTTCCGCCACTTTAAACGGCCCAAGGGGTGGCCGCAGGCAGTCAGCTAGAGCCCTTGCGGTGCTTTGTAGTCATGGGAACGAAGCTGTAGAGGACCTTGTTAGTGAGAGCGCAGGACCAGAGAGCAGCACAGCGACACGCAGGAGGAGCCGCTTCGCTCGCGAAGTTACCGCCCTTGAGCCTTCACTTGATCGCCCCCTTATTGACGATCTGAAGCCACATACCAATTCATTTTTTTGTGCCCTCTGGACCAAACGACGGCGGATGGAGGGAGCAGGAGGGGGAAGCATGCAATCAGGAAGACCGCCGACGCGCGGCTGCCCAGGGGGGCTGCCTCGGCATTGCATGGAGCCTTATGGCGGCTCAGGGATCATGCAGGAGCCAGATCCACGTGTTTTATTCCAGTTCCTAGTATTGAGGGCTGAAGAGTCGGGGAGAGGCGCTTGCAAACGCACAGGAGACACGTAGTATAGCCTCCAGTGTACCCAGGCGAGCACTCTCGGAAGGCGCACACGCGTCTTAGGTTTCGGGGGGTTCTTTGGAAGGAAAACGGCGTATGCAGCTGCGAAGTGTTAGGAGGCGAGCCGTGATCCCACGCTTCAGTTGGCGTCGTAACCTGCAGCCACCAAGGTAGCAGGGCTGTAGCCATTCGTTCAGGCGTGAAGGAGCTTCCTTGCTGCCTTGCTTGGCAGGTAGCGATGTCAACGGGCCTTGCAGCGACGACGGTTTAGCGATGTTTTCGCGAAGGAGGATATCAATTTAGAAAGGGTCTCAGGAGCAGGCGCGCGAGCTAGGAAAGTTCGTGAGTCAAAGCAACCTAGCGTGGCGGAGCAGCAGCCTTGGGAATGGCAGTCTGCAGCCGTCGTGGAGGTGCTGCGTAGCAGTGTATCAGCAGCAGGCGGCAGCAGCAGCACCAGCAGTCGTAGAGCAGGCATCATGAGCAGGATGCCAGTTCAGGGGGGGGACGTGTTAGGTTCTGATGCTGCAGCAACCCCATGCGGAGGCATGGGGATCACTCATGAGAATCCCAAGGGATCGGGAGGGGCCCCTGCAGGAGCGCCGCTTGCGCGTCATGTGAAGCGGAAGCTTGCAGGCCTCCTGGATGCTTGGCGTCGAGCCAAGTGTTTCCGGCTTTTTCTAGAACCGGTAGACGTCGTGCAGATGGAATGCCCAACGTATTATGAAGTGATCAAGCATCCAATGGACTTGCACACCATGGAAGTGCGATCCCACAAGCAAGCTATAGCTCAAGGGGTAGCAGCTTGATTTTTCCAATCCGAAAACGGGCTCAGACAGCAAGAAAGGGGTGCTAGGTTGCACAGAAATGTGGGGATGAGGCCTAGCGCGGGAGATCGCTAAGGGCTTTGCGTGCGCAGATCAAGCTCGAGAAGGACGAATAT